ACACACACACACACACACACACACACACACACACACACACACACACACACACACAGTCGCACACCGACACACTTTACAGATTTATATGCTGGCCATTAAAAAGCCAACATGCCACAACGAACTATTAAACAAAATACTATAAAAGAAAAACAACAACAACAACAGCAGCAGCAGCAGTATTTACCAAAACTGAGCTTTTTCTACGACTCCTGCTTCTTCTGCTAGTTTTTCGAGGCACCTGACTTAAGAGGCGTTCCAAATGTTGCTCTCGCCATGGAGGTCATAAAACTGGCAGTGCCACCAAGAAAATACATACATGCACATATAAATGGCTAGAAAAAATTGTGTGTGTGTGTGTGTGTGTGTGTTTGGCCCGCACTCGTCAGCCGTCAGTCGTTGAGTGGGTGTTGCTTAGCCTAGCAGAGCTTATCTGGCCATAAAGCTACGACCGCGGCTGTAGCTGTTGTTAAGACTTTAGCTGCAGTTGGGGCTGTCTCGGCAGCTGGCGAATTGCCCCCAAGTCGGCGTGCAACCACGCATCAGCATCTAGTTGCTGTAGCTGTAGCTGTAGCTGCTATTGCTGTTGTTGGCCTACGTGTTATCACGAAACACTTCACAAATGCACGGCGGGCAGGTAAGAGTGATTTTGGCAATAGTGCTCGACGAGCAGATACCCTAAGGGCTGAGATGAAAGCTATTCCAGCTACTTTATACAGATGCAACCGAAGAGGCGGTGCTCTAAGTAACAAATCAAGCAGCTATAGTTCTCTAGTCAATACTGATCGACTAGCAGATACCCTAAGGGCACTGCTGAAAGCCAACTACTTATTTCAGCTACTTCCTAGAGATGAGCTACCAAGTACTAAGTATCATAGTAGGTATTTATAGTTAGCTAGTCAATAGTGCTCGACTTGCAGACACCCTAGCCACACTGTTTGACACGTTTTTACAGATCTATCATTTAGACTACAGGAGAAGCCTTTTATTACTAGATTTCATATCAAAATCAAGCATATATGGCTTCTAGTACAATACATACGACTAGCAGATACCCTAACTTAACATTAAATACATCAACATATAATCACTTGACCAATATACCCCATCTGTCTGCTACTCTCTCATCTCTTATTTCTAGCGTAGAAAATATCATTTTGCAATCAAAGTTTTCATAATTTCTGCAAGTGTAGCCGCTGGCTCTTTCACTTTTCGCACATGCGCGCCCAATTTGTCGATCGTACGCTTTAAATAGGTATCCGCAGCTAAATGTGGCCGAGAGTACGTGTATCTGCGAGAGTTCGAACTCATACTTGGTGTACATACGACTCAAATTACAGCAATCGTTGGTCTGCTTAGCACTTTGCCCTGGGCGTGGTCGCGCAACCTTAGACCATGACTCGGGTCATTAAAAAGCCAACCGACAGCAACAATTTGTTGAACCAGTTGAAATGATGTTGTTAAATAACAACAAAATACACAAAAAACAGAAAATAAACATAAATTAATTGAAGTTACAAAGCGTCAACAACTGAAGGTGAAGGTCCAAAGCTTTTTTTTTGGGGACTGAGTATCAGATTTTTTCTCTGGACTGAAATTGTCACGCTGCTGGGCATTACTTAATATGTTCTCTGAAGAGGAGTATGCAACTAGTAGATATCCTGTATATAAGAAGAAAGTGAGCATTGCATTGGAATATTGACCAAGCAGATTTATCGATATATGTCGATAACTAATTATATATATGTCGATAACTAATTATATATATGTCGATAACTGTCAATAGGCAAGAGCATGGGGAGAGCTGAAGAAGCTAGATAGCTCCTATAACTTTATTTCTCAATATTAAAAATCGATATTAATCGATTATTCAATTCATTTATAACTATAAAACCAATTCTGCCTTTATACAAAAATCTTATCTTATATTTAATCAAATCTACAATACATATATCTTTTTACCTTTAACACAACCCTTCGGGAGCACTTCAGCGTTTACAGGGTATAAGGACAAACAATAAAGCTAGCCATTGAGCAGGTCAGGGCCCTTTGCTCAATTCATTGACAGCAGCTTTAAAATTAAAGTCGTTCTAATTAATTAGAGCACTGGATTCCGAACTGTCGACATCTGATGTATGCATAGATCGTAGCTGGGGCGTCACTGACCCAGCGTGCAGCCAGAGTACACAATGAGAGAGGAGAGCGGACAGATGGGTGAGGGAGAACAAGAACGACTCTTTGTAATTTGGCGTTGATATGCCGCACAGTTTGTGTTGGAAATTAATAAGCAGAAAAAGGCAAGCCAAGCAACGGCGACGGCGACGGCGGCGGCGACAATGATGATGATGAACATCATCATAATGATCCTAATGATGATGATGATGATGATGATCATGTGGCAGGCAGAGAACAAGTCCGGGGACAAACAAGTTTTCCAGTTTTTCCAATTTTCATGCACTAAACGCAATCAGTGCTCATGATCTGTACATTAGCGTCGTGTGCTGATCACGCAGATTGCCCACATGGACACGGAAAGAGAGAGAGAGAGAGAGAGAGAGAGAGAGAGCGCCTGCTAGAGGAGTAAATGAGAGGGAGAGAGATAGGTATACAAGTGAACATGGATGCACACATAAACAGTTGACTGATATAACTCTAATGTTGACCAGTTTAAGAGTGGTTTATAAATCTAACAAACGCCTGAGCCAGGCCGGAATGACGTTGACGTTGACGCTGACGCTGACGTTGTC